TATATATATATATATATATATATATATATATATATATTAGAGTAAATTATGGACTTGGTTCCTGTAGTTTATACTTTCTATCCATAATGGTCCTAAAATTAAAATAAATAAAGATATGGTACCCCTTGTACGTATTTTCGCACTCATTGAGCCCCTCCCTCTAACGAAATCAAAAAGATTCTATTAGCCCAGTTAAATTCAAGGGTATTTTAGTCTTTAATCCTTAAACTGTCAAATGTTTTTATTGCATAAAAATTAAAAAGAAAATGCTATCACTAATTTATTCTTCATAAAGCTTCTTTGATATTCAAAGATATCATCAACTATGTAGAGAGGTAGTAAGTGAAGTCGGGTGTTGCATTCGTTCATTTGCAGGTGCATGGATTGCAACAATTATCACTCGTTCATTTGCAGGTGCATGGGTTGCAAGTGCAGTTAGCACCACACTTGCAACCATCATTCTCGGATGGTGCAGCTCCCATTTCTGATCCCTCATGGCAACTATACACATTAAAAATCAATAAACACGTTAACACCATAACCTAGTCGCCTACAGTACAAGCAATTGCAGCATTCCAACATATATTGAAGAAGATAAGTTTAGGTCTATAGCCAAAATGAGACACGCCCCCGCCCCCTCCAACAGAGATTAGATGGACACATACAAAGAAGTTGAAACATATATTCAATAGAATAAGTCCAAATCTACACGTCGAACGACACTTTCATCAGCCATTGGTCAGAAGAGCCTGCCACATGCACAAGTGGGCTAGGACCCACGTCCCAAACTCATGCACGAGCTTGTAACATCATTTTATACGCTTAAATGCCACACATAGCATATGTATACATGATTACAGCATGATTATGTTATGTCGTTTTTATTACATGAAGGCTCATGCATGTAAACAAGTTCATGAGCGAGTCACTAAAACATGATTGGGCATAATCCTAGAGCATCTTTGATGGGAGGTTTTTAAATCTAATGTAAAAAAATCATGAACCGATTCATGACCTAAGATGCGTGATCAAATGTATGTTTACAAATATATATATATATATATATATATATATATATTATATATAATATTTTGATAGATATTCATGACGAATGTAATGAATAATGAAAATGATACCTCTTGTTGGTTGCGAAACCAGAAATGGTGGTGGTCTCAGAGTAGCCTACGTCTGCGTTCATCTTGCAGCCACCGCAGCTGGTTTGGCATTTGCAACCGGAGCCACAACCGCAGCTTCCTCCACAGCAAGTAGACGACGACATTTTAGTATAAGATTAAATGATTATAACTTAAAGGCGATTGGTTGTTTATGGTGGAAGGAGGCCGCAATTTATAGGCGGCAGGAGGAGGATAGTGGTACAGCTGATTTTAATGGTCACCGACCACCTGGTGGTGGTGGTGGTGGTCAATGCCTGTTAGGTTTTCACACGTGTGTGATCTTCCTCTTTTTGAAGCATATATATATATATATATATATATATATATATATATATATATATATATATGTTTTCTTTGAAAGTTTCTATGGCCACGAAACATTCCTTTATAATTATCTACGTGGCAATGAGAAGCAAAAACCTCTTCTTCTAAACGATGGAGGTCACCGCCGGAGAAAGCTAGAGTTGATATTTTGATGCTTTAATACTTGTACTTGTGCTTTGAACATTTATACAAGAAAAGTTTAATATTAATACTATATGATATTGTTTTTAAATGATAAAAAGACAAGAATAACCCTTAATTTAAAGAAATGGGTACTTAAATGTTTGAGATTTTTGTCTCGAACAAAGGTTTTAAAACTACATTACCTAAAATATGAATCATATATCAAAGTAGATTACATTTTCATGCAATTTATCATTATATATATATATATATATATATATATCTTGATTCTTTCTCCGGGAGTGAACATAACATAGTGTTTCTCAGGTAGTACGTACCTCATTATCACTTTTGTTCCCTCCCAAATGATATCAAGACGTGCATCTTGTAAATTTTTCTTTATTTTTGTCTTTTACAAAGAGTATCACAATGTGCATCTTGTATGTTTTTTGTTATTTTTGTTGCTTTACAAAATGTATCACAATATGCATCTTATATGTATTTTGGTATGAAAGTGAGTGTCATTTTTTATGTCTCTTTCTTTTAACTGTGTCGATGTTTTTTAAGTATATATCATAGCATGTATCTTGGATTCACATAACTCCATCCACCTATAGTTTTTCACTATTTTGTCTGCATCATAATGATAATATATAAATGGCTATAATCACAATGCACACACAAAAAACAACTCCAACATCAATTGTTGTGAATGATGATGTCAAAATTCTTGATGGCATAGTATAACAACCAAAACAAACCAAACCAATCTAGTATATCCTGCTGGAATGTAGGGTATGAAGATGAGATGTATGCAAATCTGACCTCTATCCAAAATATAACAACATAAAACATAAAATCCAACATCACCCCTTCCATTTGTAACACGTACTGTAAACTCTTCCCAAATTATGTAGAAATCACTTCAATTTTACAGAAATGTGCATACGTAAACTCGTTTGGCATCCAAAGTAAAAAAAGGATACGGGAGTATTTAACTCTCAAGTACGATCACAAAAGGAACATACATACAACCACAAAAAGAAATCTATCAGATGACTTGAATTATTTGACTTTCAAGCACGATCAAATGCTAGCTGGATGCATTACCTTTTAATTTATTTCCATCCTTTTTTACATCAAATCGTAAAAAATTGAAGTATATAAACATCAAAGGCTCCAATGCTTACATGTTCTCTAGAAATAGGAGAACACAACACTATAAAAACTCATGAAAACATAGACGAAAGAAGTTAAAGAAAATCCTACCTTTCAGAGTCACGGGTGTGACTTGTTGTTCCTTCTCTTTTGTCGCCCTTGAAGTTACTGAACGGAAAACCCATCGATATCTTTTTTTTATTAACCTGGATATCCAACCCGTTATGCGAGCCGACTAATCCCAGGGCGACCACCTGCTTTGCAGATAGCCCGGAGTCACCGCATTTGAACCTTCGTGGCCACAAGGGGATTTTTATTCCTCCTTCGATTTGAACATGGGACCTCCAGGTACTTATGACTTTTTGGAGCCAAACTCAAACCAATCAGACATCACCCTTATATGATAGTTACTCCTTTCATGGATCCCCGTTCCTAAGGGAAAATCGATGCAAGGAGGCCTTAGATAGACCCATAAATTATTCAAAGTTCAACAACAAACACATAAACAAACTTCATCAAACATAGTTGAAAGGGAATTGGTATAATCAAAAGGTCAATATTTAACCCCATCATGGGATCATCAACCCATAACAATCTTTTACCTTTACAATACCTCTTTTTCCAGGGATCTATGTATGGTGTGAAGTAATTGATTTAATTGAGGAATTCTTTACGATCACATAAATCCTTAATTTATCTGTTTACAAAGTAGACGATAATTGTAAAACAGAACAGGAAGAAAAGGAACGAGTCGGAAGTATCAAGTACAGAAAACACCCATTGGCAGTGAAAACCGCAAAAACACAAATTACACATCAGAAAGGCACGGAAGTAAATAATACCTTGCAACTCGTTATCAAATCCTTCTTTATCCCAATAAATAGAGTGTCCCTCGCCCTAAGAGACAGATTAATCAACAGCAACCAAGCCAAATAAAACAGCTCATCTACGTCCTAAAATTTCAGGAAATTTAGGGTTTCAATTCATCAAGAAATTGAGGACGTCTACCCAAAAGCTATCAAAAACTTAGGTGTTTGGTTCACAGAATGGAATTTGATGGAAATGGAATCCATCAAAGAAATTTGACTTTGAGAAAACTCGAATGGAATTTAACCACGCGTTTAGTTGGTAGGAATTGGAATGAAATCTCTCAAAAGAATTGGAACCAATAGTCTTTGTTTGGACTATCCCATCCATCGGCCCACCCATATCCTACCAACCACCATGTCACTATTGTCGTCGTCACAGCTATCACACCACCCCACGCCTACCCAAACCTACCCCAGCACTCCTACCCCAACCCTGCTCCATAGGTGGGGGTTATTAGGAGTAAACAGGGGCCAAGGTGGTAGGGGCCGAGGTGGGGCAATGGGTGATAGGGTGGTAGTTGGGACGATGGGGTGGGTAGGGGTAGGTGGCGGGGTGGTAGTTGTGACGATGATAGTGGTGGGATAGTGGTCGGGTGGCTGGGCTTGGGAGTGGGTGGGTGTAACCACAACAATAGTGGCATGGTGTTTAGTGGTGGGTTGGGGTAGGGTGGGATGCAGGTGAGTAGCGGTTGTCCTTTTCGGTCATTTTACTACACATGGTTGGTTCATCAGCTAACAACTAGTGTATTAGCCAATAGCTAGTTTCTGAGCCGATAACTAGCTTATCAACTAGTTTGACAAACGTAGCCTAAACCCTGTTCTAATAGCCATCCAATCTTACAAACTGTATTGACTAAAATACCCTTCATCAGAACTGCAAAATTTGCCCTTTCCTAGTGGCTTTAACTCAAGGGAATTACAGAAATTACAGAACAGAACAGGGAGAAAGGAGCGAGTCGAAAGTATCCAAGTACAGAAAACACCCATTGGCAGTGGAAACCGCAAAAAGACTAAATAAACATCAGGAAGGCACATAAGTAAATAATACCTTGCAACTCATTATCAAATCCATCTTTATCTCAATAAATAGATTGTCCCTTGCCCTAAGAGACAGATTAATCAACATCAACCAAGCAAAATAAAACAGCTCATCTACGTCCTAAAAATTCAGGAAATTTAGGGTTTCAATTCATCAAGAAATTTAGGACATCTACCCAAAAGCTATCAAAAACTTGGGTGTTTGGTTCACAAAATGGAATTGGAATCCATCAAAGAATTTTGACTTTGAGAGAACTAGAATGGAATTTGATGGAATTTGACCACGCGTTTGGTTGGTAGGAATTAAAATGAAATTTCTCAAAAAAACTGGAACAATCGTCTTTGTTTGGACTATTCTACCCATTGCCCCACCCACATCATACCAACCACCATGTCACTATTGTCGTCGTCACAGCTATCTCCCTGCCCCACGCCTACCCAAACCCTACCCCACTACCCCAACCCTGCCCCACCACTCCTACCCCATCCCTGCTCCATAGATGGGGGTTATTGGGAGTAGACAGGGGGCGAGGCGGTAGGGGTGGGTCCAAAGTGGGGAAATGGGTGGCAGGGTGGTAGTTATGACGACTGTAGTGGTCGGCTAGTGGTTAGTGGTGGGTTTGGAGTAGGGTAAGGTGGGGTTGCGGCGGGG